TATAGAGTAGACATGTAGAACTAGATAAGCTTATGATAAACCAGCCTTGTCTACTTATTAAGGAAAAGTGGGAGGTTCTTTTTAATGAACAGTAGCTTCTCTGCTTTATCAGCCATAAGTCTGTTCCTCTTCTCATCAAGCACATGAGAGGCAGCGCTGAACAGTCTCTCGCTGTCAGTGCTTGTGATTTGATCTTACTCCGCATATTTGTCCGGGTGTTTTGATTTCAAGTGGTGGAGTAATCCTGAAGTGGTGAAAGTCTTTGCAGTTACACCCCCTCGAGAAATGTCAGCTGAACACGTTTTACAAATCGCAATCCGCGCCTCTTTCTCTGATATTTTTAAATATCTCCAAGCGCCAGACATGTTGGCTGTGAGCCAGCCGCGAGCATGGTCGCGCGCCGTGCTTTTCGCCGCGTTTTGATTACGTCATCACAACAACACGTTAGCTTACCAACGTAACCCTGTTCTCTGACATTCGGCCCTATCGGCGGAAAGCCGAAAGGGCCTTTTTAACCATTTTCGGCCGTTAATTTTCGGCGGCCGAATATTCGGTGCATCCCTAGTTAATACTATGTACTGTATCTCACAGCTGGGAGGCGGAGCCAACTGTCGTATCCTGGCCGACAGCATGACGCGAGGACCCGTGGTGAGGCTGCCCTCTGCCTGCCATGCTGCGGAGGTCAAGGCCTGGCTGGAGAGCACGGACGGCTTTCAGGCCATCAGAGACGCCTTTGACAACACCAGCAGGTAAAATAGAAACGGTGACATGGACATGACGAGGATTCAGAGTCTGGGCTGTGCTGTGTGTCTGCGTGTTGTCTCTGTGTTTAGAGGGTCTGTTGCTGTTGGCAGGTTTGCTCGGCTGCAGAAGCTGCTGGTCGGTCTGGCCGGGAGGAATCTCTACATTCGCTTCCATTCCAAGACCGGGGATGCAATGGGGATGAATATGATCTCGAAGGTAACTGTTGTGGCTGTGTGGATAGTCAGCGGGTGCAATTTCATACAACCACTTAGTGTATTAAAAGTACGGAGCCCCCCAAAGACTAATGGAAAAAAATAAATAAAATTGTGCGCATGAGTTGAACATCCCTGACATTAGTTCATAGATCGATGCAGACTGGTTTACTGACTCTCCTTCTTTGCCGATGTATGCTGAAGAGAGTTAATTCCTCGCGGGTATGCTATACAAACTGTAAATCCCTCTTAGACAAGTGTAATGTTTGATATTGGGCTAAACAAATACAATTTGATTGTATCATCAGTGCACTCCAGTGCTTAAACAGACAGCTCTACACTTCTGGCCGTAAATGTCCTTTCAAATGAGTTTTAAATATAGCTCAATTGATGTATTTCACTGTATGTGCTGTGTGCTCTGCATGTGCGACCATTAAAGAGGGCTTTCATCCCTCCCATTCTATTCCATTCACTGTTATTTCCACACATCAACGTAACAGTCTGCAATTAACTAGTGGTCTCCTGCACACTCCAGCTCCTCCTGTACGCACTGGTAACTTTGCAGGAGAAAATCTATTTTTCTCAATGAATTGTTGTTATCCATGTCCCTTAATGCGCTCCGAATAAAAGGGGTGAAAGCAACAAAACACACTTACTTAAGTACAATGTTGAGGTACTTGTCACTTAGCCTGCTAGAGCCTTTATCACCCAGCGCCCCCTGGCTGTGTGAGAAGATGTTACTCTCTTTTTAAAGGAAGCATGTTCTCCTGCAGGGTACAGAGCAGGCTCTGAGCATACTGCAGCAGCACTTCCCAGATGTGCAGGTGATAGCTGTGAGCGGGAACTTCTGCACCGACAAGAAACCTGCCGCCATCAACTGGATCGAAGGCCGGGGCAAGTCTGCCGTCTGTGAGGCCACCATCCCCGCTAAAGTGGTCAGAGAGGTAGGAGGCTGCAGCTTACTGTCCGTGGTCTTTACTATATACAGAAACAAACAGAAATCCATTGAAGGAGACTTGAAAGTCAAGAATGAACACCTTTGAATTACCCAATGCTGCAGATTTTAAAACATAGTCCTCCACAATTACGCTGTGGGCGAGGCTTTAAATGGACCAGACATTTGTGAGTTTTTGGGTAAGATGGTGGAAGGCCTACAGTTTTCCAACTACATTATTTGACGCATCATTCTATAGTAGAGGACAATAGTTTGGCACCTACTTTTGGCGCACCATTTAGCCCATTATTTGTGTCACCCTATTTCTGACGATTGCCTAATCAAAATAATGAAATATGGATTTTGAATTTATTAGTTTTTTCTTGAACCTCAAAAGAAAGTTCTTGTTCAATATATCATATGTCTTCAAATGGAACCAAACAACATCTTTGTGCGTGCTTTTTGGAAATGTGTTTTCGGACGCTGTCACCTAACCTGATGTGGCTTCAGAAAGCTTAAAACCCAGGATTAGCCACTTCAGTAGCTTTGGTATAAGTTAAACTCTATTCATCAGAATGATCAGATCTCATATTAACTGTGTGTTGTGGCTGTGCTGCAGGTGTTGAAAACAACAACAGCAGCTCTGGTGGAGGTGAACATCAGTAAGAACCTGGTGGGCTCAGCCATGGCCGGAAGCATCGGAGGATTCAACGCACACGCATCCAACCTGGTGGCTGCCATCTACATAGCCTGTGGACAGGTAAAGAAATATCCTGCACCTGTGTATTTTCATGTCTTCTTGTGTTTCCTGTGTTAAATCTCTGTGTGTGTGTGTGTGTGTGTGTGTGTGTGTGTGTGTGTGTGTGTGTGTGTGTGTGTGTCCTCAGGATCCAGCCCAGTCAGTGGGCAGCAGCAACTGCATCACCCTGATGGAAGCGTCAGGACCGACTGGGGAGGATCTGTACATCACCTGCACCATGCCCTCCATAGAGCTGGGGACTGTAGGGGGAGGAACCAGCCTGCCCCCCCAGCAAGCCTGCCTCCGGGTACACAAACAAACACACACGCACACGCACACACACACACACACACATACACACACACACACACAAACACACACACACATCTCAGCTAAAGTATTGATGATATCAGGACAGCAGAAAGTCTACATCTTCTCACCCAGAAGGTCTATATTTTTTAAATAATTTCATATTCTTATATGTTATTTTATCTTAATTGAACATATTATTTTTATTTCTGTTGTTCATACATCATATTTTACCTTATTTGCTAGATGTTTCCCTATGTTTATATGATATATTTTATTTTATTCTATTTTATTAATTCGAAATGGAACAAACGTCAAAAAAACAACTTTCCCCTGGGATCGTTAAATGATTTCTTATTCGACACCAAAGCAGTATTACCTTTGAGAACTTAAGAAATGAATGTGAAAAGCATATATCACAATACTTTTAATCTAATTTGCTAGAGTAATCATTCATGTGTTTGTGTGTGTGCAGATGCTGGGCGTGCAGGGCGCCAGTCTGGACTGTCCCGGGGAGAACGCGCGGCAGTTGGCGCGGGTAGTGTGTGCCACCGTGCTGGCTGGAGAGCTCTCACTGATGTCTGCTCTGGCTGCAGGCCACCTGGTCAAGAGTCACATGACACACAACAGGTGAGAGCGACCAACCCTCATTCACACATTTACATGATTCCTCTATGTCTACACAAACAGCAGAAAGATAAGCAAAAGAAAAATGTTTCTATCACTACTAAGAACTGGTTTTAGTGAGCTCAGAGAACTTGGTCCCCATCAGTGTTAGCATCACTACGTAAATAACACAACAGCTGCTGATAATTGGAAACATCTTTGTTGAAAGATAGAACAAATGTAAAGGCTTGCCAACTTTGTGTTTGTCGCTGTTTGTGCATCAGAGTTACAAGCTAACACATCTGTTGCTGATTAACACACTAGCTAGCTTGTTAGGTATGATTGTTATTATTATTATGTAAGTAAGCAACATTTATTCATCAATTAATCTTTCTTCAGTGACAACATACACGTGTATGTTTCTGTGAAGACACGGAAAGGAACTGAAAAGATTGTTCACTTTCTTTTTGTTTACAGGGATATTTATATATACTGTACATGGTGTTTAGTGGCATTTCAAACTACAACCGATTTTTGGGATTGAAGGTTTTGAGACAGCGGCAACGCTCTAATTTTTGTGTTCCGGGTCGACTTATTTATTACAGGCTTGGGTCCTGGTCTGCAGGGTCTCAATAATATAAACTAACATGGGACAAGGCAACTACCTTTTCTTAGCATAGTTAAACCTTTGAATACATGTTTTTTAAGAGCACATACATGTTTCACTTTGCACAGCATTAGCACAGCCATAGCTTAATTGCAATAGATAGAAATGTAAGTGAAGAATGTACAACCAGTGTGTATTCACCATACATCATGATGAATCTGACCTGACTGCTGTCTGTGTCTGCAGATCCAAAGTGAACCTACAGGAGCCAGGGACGTGCACAAAGAAAGCCTCCTGAGAGCCTCCTGCATTGAGCCCAGGTCACAGGACAGAGCAGTACATATGGACAATATGGAAGAAAACAATTATTCATTATTCATCGAAGCAGAGCTCAGCTGTCTTTCAAGGGCTTTCAACACAACACTGGAGTGTCTTTGGACCAATCTTTTATGCTGGATATGATGCTAATCAGACTCTTCAGTGGACATATTTCATTTTCTGTATCTGTGTGTGTTTATGGGGCTGGCTTCTTTTATTCCCACATTTACAGTAAGAATGCTGTCTAGCTGTTCTGCTTCAAATGTTTCTGCTGTCCTGTTGCCAAATGAAGCAGTGTGAAACAGACACAGGGAATGTTTGTGACTGCTGAATGTGCATGGGAACACATGACCACACTGAATATAATGAATCATACAGTGTCACAGTTTTCAGCCCATACATTTCTGTGAACCATACAGACAGAATAACCATAACAGACTCAACAAGGAATGAATAAGGGAACATATGAATAATTAATTATCTGGATCCAAGAGGCACTCTTGGATCCAGATAATTAATGATTGCACACCTCACTTAAGGCTGACTTCCTCTCACAACAGGTGGGGTCCCAATCAAAGAATCCTTTAATCATCAGCCCATTCCTGTTGGGATCATACATTCTAATTACCATAAGGAAACAAATTCTCAACCCACCCGCAGTGCATTTCCTGTCACAAAAAAAGGACTGAAGAACAGTGTTCTTATGTGTGATGCAAACCATCGCATTGTGTCTGCTTTGATCAACATCAGGGGTGTCCAAACTTGTTTTAGCTGAGGGCCACATACAGAAAAATATTTTAAAAATGCTGGACCACTACCGAGATATATTGCCTCATAAGTACATTTATAAGAAATGACTGCATTTATTTGAAAAGGAAAAAGAGTTGGCCGCCGGGTCATAGTTTGGACACCCCTGATCTACAGAAAGTGACAGAATCTTCCATTTTGGATATATTTTGTAATAAATACAAAAGGACTTAAACAACGACAACATTGTACTGTTTTGATTAATGCTTTGTCAGAAATTGGAATATGGAACACGTTGCTGAAGAGCTGAGGTTCATGTCTGCAGTTTTTCCGTCTAGTTTGTATGAAATCTTGAAGTGTGTTGCATGTACAGTAAAGATGCAACGTGGCATGGGTCTGTTTCACTGTTCATAGATTGTTTTATCAGCAGACATTTAATAATAGAAACATTAGCGGGCACGTTGAAAAGCAAGCACCTGTGCACTGATCTGCAACAGGTTCACTGTGTTGCCATATAAATAACATTATTATTATTGTGATGAAAAGGGTTACATCTTGGAGCAAAGCACTGGAACACAAGGAGTACACAGGAGAGCTTCAAACTGATGTCAGACACTGAAGACTCATTTGAAGTTACAGCCAGCAAGTCAGACATTTGCTAAGAACCAACACTAAAGTGCTCCTTCTCCGCACACAGTCAGTAATCAGACATTCCATCAGAGGACATAACCAGTTCGGAAGGCCTCGGTCTGATCCGGTTTACTCTCTGACTTATCATTATCTGAAGGAGAAGACGTTTACAACCTTGCTTCATGCATACTAAGAAGTAACACGGCTGATGAAGAGAGCCTGAGAAAACAGGTGCCAGTTTATCTCCAAACAAAAGGGCCCGAGGCCGAATGCCTGCTGCCTGTACAGACAGAGAAACATGAAATCAGGCAAGGATAGAAGAGGAGAATTGATGAGGGACAAGTAAAATAATTATAAATTATTATCATTATTATTTTATAAAATGAAAATGTATCTTTTGAGAAAAATATAAATATCCTATAGGTATTATGTGTGTGTATTGTATATAAAAGTATACAATTTGCAAGAATGGGACACACTGTTAAACAACTTCTGTTGGTTATGTTCAATTAAACTTTACCTTTAAATGATTTTTTTGCATGATTTAACTAATCTATTACAAATGACATATTATTTATATGGAACAAAAAAAATGGAATCACATTGTATTCCTTGGGAAAATGGTCCGCAGAAGTGCAACTGAGATCATTTTCATAAATCACATTTAACCATTAGTCATAAATGTGATGCAGGAGTCTCCAGATTGACTTCTAGCAGGTATGAGGGTCTGAGGTGTGACTGTATGAACCAATGGACGCGGCTGGGACACAGATCAATGTAATCAATGAGTGACAGGTGTAGGTTAGTCCTCTCCTGATGAGCCACTTGAACTTTCTCCCCTTTTACCCACATCCTATCCAATGGATCTGCTGAGCACTCAGAGATCCTCCACTGATCTCACAGTTCTCGGCCCTCACCAGAGAAGCTCCAGCCAATCAGAGGAGGGCCAACACATCTCACCAGCTGTGAGCGCACTGATTGGCTAAACCCCGGCTGCAGATTCAACAATAATGGTGTTTGCAGTTACATAAGAGGTCGAGCAGCTATACGCTCCTCCTCTCACACAGCTACATGAATCAGCACCTGGGACACAGCAAGCATGCAGTATTTCATGAATTATTATAATTTAGGATGTAAGAATGCAAAGATTGAACATATTAAACGCTAATAGAACTAACGCATTTATGTTATTTAACATTACTGACAAATTAAGCATGCTTTTGTATTGTTCACACTGGTGAGGCCTGGTCCCAGGAGTTCAAAACTTTAAATCTCAATCAGATCCGATCAGATTTCGAAATCCCATTTTTTGT